TCTCTCTCTCTCTCTCTCTCTCTCTCTTCTTCTCTCTCTCTCTCTCTCTCTCTCTGTCTCTCTGTCTGTCTATCTGTCTATCTGTCTATCTGTCTATCTGTCTATCTGTCTATCTGTCTATCTGTCTATCTGTCTCCTTCCTTTCTGCCTCTCCACCCATCCCTCTACTTTCTTTCTCATTTCTCTCTATGTTGATAGTCTTTTTTTCCTTTAATTCACAAAATTATATACCCCATAGCGAATTGAAAAAAAAAAAAGAGAAAAATAGAATTTCGAGGCAATGTTTGTTGTATATAACTAATAATATACATTTATATAGAGATAAAGTTGTAATTGCATCATCAAATATCTTATATATAAAGTTCTTATATACAAGAAAATATATATATATATATATATATACATAATAAAACACTTCTGTATATAAATTAACTTGAATTGTATCGCGATGAGTAATTAAAAATATCTTTCCAGCTAAAAAAAAGATATTTAATGCATCGTTAAAAGCATTTAATGTTAAAAGCATCTTTATGTTGTAAACTAATTGTTCAAATATTCATGTCGACGATTGAAAAGTTTATATCGACAATCAATAATGTTAATACTCTTCATTTACCTCCAACCCTCTTCTCCCCTGTTCTACCGCCAAAGGTCAGCAAACGAAGTGCGTGATAATGTGAAGACGCTGTGTAGTCCGTGACCGTTTTTTACGTGACGGAAAATTTTATCGTTCGGTAGTGCGATAAATGCAAACGATTCTATAAACTCGTCGTACGACAGGTAATTATCACCTAAACAGATCCCTACGATAGCCTCGCGAACAAGATGCGAAGAGTAGCTTATTAAATTCACTTCGTGTTTCGAAGCTCGGGTAGAATAGCGTTCTAACCTTCGATCTTCGAGCATATTAAATTACACAAATAAATGCTCTCTGTGAAAAGCTTGATTTGTTGCTGTATCAAGATTCAACATATTGATCGATTGAACGTCAAAATGAACTAGGTATCGCGAGTGCGAGTTATTTTTTGCAAAGAGATCTCGATGTTGCATCTTGTTGCATAAGGTTATCTGTTTATTCAATACACTGTGGAAAGCAGAATCACTTGTGGTGGCTAAAACATTCTTATTAATTAATTATAATTAGTATTAAAATTGTTAAGGTACAATGAGTTATCATCGAGGAAGCGGTAGCAAGCCGAAGGGCTTCGGCTTTACCGGCTTTCAAGTATCTGGAGTTAAAAGGAGCGGTACCAACATACCTCCACCTCCACCAAATTCTACCCTAAGTAAGCAAGGCTATCACACAATGAATGCCATTACGGAAAGCGCTTTGTCTGCTTCTTGGGGCATGCCTAAAAACGGAGCAAGACTGAAGAAGAGTTAGTATGATTTTATAGATGTCATAGAAAGTATAGATGGTTTAAATATTGCAATAACAATTGTTTGAAATTAGATACTTTGAGGATGATGATGAACCTCCAACTTCATCATTGGAATATATACCCGCACCTGGTTCTCCTACATATGACTTAATGAAGAAATCAACAACAAAAGATGAAAGTGACAGTGAGGAGGATCCTCTAGATGCTTTTATGGCATGTATCGATGAGGAGGTGAAACGAAATAATTGTGCGGCTCAACGCGGTGATAATGGTAAGGAAGACAAGTCCAAGGGATTTCGGGCAGACATTGATGGAGAAGACGATGAAGAAAGTTATTATAGGTATAAATTTATTGAGTATAATAATTAAAAATCACAGATATGTTATATTTGATGTATAAGAATTATTATAAAATATCCATCTTTGTTTTCCTAATTAAGGTATATGGAAGAAAATCCAACTGCTGGTTTACAACAAGAAGAATCTGATCAGGAGATCGAATACGATGAAGATGGTAATCCTATTGCACCACCGAAGAAGAAGGACATCGATCCCCTACCTCCAATCGATCATAGCGAGATAAAATATGAACCGTTTGAAAAAAACTTTTACAATGTGCATGAGGAGATTGCGAGTTTAAATAAACAGCAGATCGATGACTTGAAAAAAACTCTGGGTATAAAAGTATCTGGGCCATCTCCGCCAAATCCGATCACAAGTTTTGCCCATTTTGGCTTTGACGATGCATTAATTAAAGCTATCCGCAAAAATGAGTATACACAACCTACGCCTATTCAGGCGCAGGCAGTACCTGCCGCTTTAAGTGGACGAGATATAATCGGTATAGCGAAGACTGGTAGCGGTAAAACAGCAGCTTTTATCTGGCCGATGTTAGTGCACATTATGGATCAGCGCGAATTAAAAGCCGGAGATGGTCCAATTGGTCTCATTTTAGCACCAACGAGAGAATTATCACAACAGGTATCATAATTTTATTTCCACTATTACGACAGAAAAATAATGATTTAAATAATTACCATGTCGTTTACAGATTTATCAAGAAGCAAAGAAATTTGGAAAGGTTTATAATATCCAAGTGTGTTGCTGCTATGGAGGTGGTAGCAAATGGGAACAAAGCAAAGCATTGGAAAGTGGTGCGGAGATTGTAGTCGCTACCCCCGGTAGAATAATCGATCTAGTTAAAATGAAAGCAACGAATTTAACTAGAGTTACTTTTCTCGTTCTGGACGAAGCTGATAGAATGTTTGACATGGGATTTGGTGAGCAAACACATATTCAATTATACATTGAAAAAATACATCGAAGGTATGATAACACATCGAATATACATCTTTTTTTACAGAACCGCAAGTACGATCTATATGTAATCATGTGAGACCTGACAGACAAACATTGCTTTTTAGTGCGACATTCAAAAAGAAAGTAGAAAAGCTCGCTAGAGATGTTTTAACAGATCCTATTAGGATAGTGCAAGGAGATGTCGGTGAGGCTAACACCGATGTGACGCAACACGTTATCATGTTTCATAACAACCCTAGTGGTAAATGGAATTGGCTGTTACAAAATTTGGTTGAATTTCTAAGCACTGGCAGTCTTTTAATTTTTGTCACTAAGAAGGTGCGAAAGCTAAACATCCAACATAATTGTAATACAATATGAAAGGGGTAATCTAATAGTTTTTCCCCCACATCAGCTGAACGCGGAAGAACTTGCCAACAATCTCAAACTGAAAGAGTTTGATGTATTACTTTTGCATGGTGATATGGATCAAGTTGAGAGAAATAAAGTAATCACGGCTTTTAAGAAGAAGGATGTCAGTACTCTGGTTGCTACTGATGTGGCTGGTAATTAAAATACTAAAATTATTAATGAAAAAAATGTATATGCAAAATTCTTATCTTGTAATTATTTTAGCGCGAGGTTTGGACATTCCACATATCAAGACTGTCGTGAATTATGACGTAGCACGAGATATTGATACGCATACGCATAGAATAGGAAGAACGGGACGTGCCGGTGAGAAAGGTACGGCGTATACTCTTGTAACGGAAAAGGATAAGGAATTTGCTGGACATTTAGTGAGAAATTTGGAGGGAGCAAATCAGGAAGTGCCAAAAAGCTTAATGGATTTGGCTATGCAAAGTTCATGGTTCAGGAAATCAAGATTCAAAGGTGGAAAAGGAAAGAGTTTAAATGTCGGTGGAGCAGGACTTGGTTTCAGAGGCAGGCCCGATTCATCAAATTCGGTATATATCATATAAGTAATATAATTTGTTACATACTTATTTTCTAGAATAATTGAAACTGAATACATATATATATATACTTTAGAGTGGCTCATCGTCGCAAGCGTCGAAGGATATCAGCGAGGTGGTTAAGAAGTTAGAACGACACGGACCTGGCAGCGACAGACTCTCCGCTATAAAAGCTGCTTTCCGAAGTCAATATAATTCTCAAGTAAGTGATGTAATTCTATAAAATAAACTTCAATGAATTTGTATATCCGAATGAACCAATGTTTATTCAGATATACAAATATTTAATATATTTGATTCGCTGTAGTTCCGAGCATCATCGGATCATACCTGGGAACAGACGATCACTCCACCTTCCGTAATAATGCCGCCACCGCCAACTGTTCCACCACCGAAACCCGCAGCTCAGGAAAACCAAGTTTTCAGTCCCGCGGTACCAGAACGTAAAAGAGTACGAAAAAGTCGGTGGGAGTGATCAAATTAGTGTACCATTATTTGTGCATATATTACATACAATCGCTATATATAATACATGCTATATTGAAACGATAATGAACTGAAACTTGTTTTATATTACAATAAAATTTAATTTTACCAATTCGAGAGAGGTATCGCGATCCCTTTAGTCACAAAATTATGTGTAATATCTAATCATCAATTCGATTCCGGTTTACAGCTCCATCAACGACATATTAATTTTATTTTGCTTCAATTTCGCGGAGGTCAAGTTGCCTGTAGTTCCTGCATCAATCTGTAATCGTGCCTTTGAAAGCGCGCGTACGCAATTTGCTTAGAGTGAATCACTCCATAATTATCCCATAAGGAGCCATGGCCGTGATTGTGTGTTGTCCGCAGTGATTCTTTTAATTTCACGATCGTATCCCTAATTACAAAACCGATCGTAACTATCTTTCCGACAACTACACTGAGAAACGAGTGTGCTTGTTTTTAATTTCAGTTTATTAATAGATTACACATATATAAAAAATACATACAGAGAGCATTCATCAAAGAAAAAAAAAAAACATAGAAAAATCCAGAAAATCCAATCTTTATATAATATCAAAATTATCAAAAACTTTGAAACTCTTCTAAAGGATGTCACGTAGGAAAAATTTAAGAATAATACGAATATATAAAAAAAAAAAAGTAATGCATATCAAGACGGATATCCGTCAAATAATTTCAAAACTACGCTACTTCCTTCACTGCTCTCATTTTCCTGTGAAAATACATTCACCATCGTTGATACCATTTTGACAATGCATGCGTGCGCGCGAGAATAGAGATAAGTGTTCCCTTAATACGGAGATTAACTCAAAGGGATAACATTAGAGCCATCAATCAAGCGCTCGATCGAGTGGGACGTTAATGACGGTCGGTAGAATCGTTAACACATGTCTCCGCATCATTAAGCCACGTCAATAATACGCTTCGCTCGGAGATGTCGGCGCGTGACATAGCAACGGAGCAACTTCTAATGCCCGCGAATCACTCAAGATTCTCATTCACGGTCACGGTCATCTGCCAAGGCCACGAAAGCATTATCTCTCTTGCTTTAACACGGCTAAGACATGGTGAAGAAAAATGTCAATTTCTCTACCTTTATTTCGCATTGCTACCAAATCTAGTCAAAAGTCCGCTATTCCTTCAGGAACATTAAGTAGATTATTTATTTATTATATTATTATATCTCAAATCTCTTATTCGAGAGAAACGCAACGTATGCACTTTAGATCTCTAGGCAATCGTCTAGAGATTAAGATTCTTAAAAATTTTATACATATTGCGGCATCGCGGGGCTGCTCTTTCTCCTAGTCTTCTCCGCCTGTTGCGCGAGGATTGTTGAAGCCGATGACTTCTTTGTAGCGTCTATATTTTTACCGCTAAATCTTTCCATGGCTCTAGTATAAGAGCCTGTGCAAATTCGACCCCAGACTTTACGATCCTCCGCACATTGTTTATTTCTTCCCTCACTGTACGTTCGCTGAATATCGCCCTTCTTCGCGACCCTGCAGACGTCTTCCCTCTCCAGAGATGGATTGGAGCTCGCAGTGACTTGGACATCCTCCCATGACACGTTCACGTCAGATTGCACGCTGGATGGCGTAGGACAGCTGCTGTCGCTGGACAAAGAGGAAGATCGGATGAAGGATGGCGGTACCATCAGTTTCACTCGTTCTTCCGAGTGACCGTCATTCGAGGGCGGTTCGCTTTTCGCGCGAGAGTTCGTTTTGCAACCACCACCGTCTTGATTATCATGGACGAGATTGTCGTTCAAGATAATCTTCGCGATTGATGTCCTCTTTCTCAAATTTTCCAGATTTTCTTTAGGAGTACTTTGAGAACTGTCTACCCGTTGTAGGATATCCTTGAGATTCACATTGGTAGATTCAGTGCCGAAACTCGGTTTGGTTTGTTCGATATTCGTCCTAGGTATTTTAAGTCCAGATTTTCCATTGGTCACGACAGCATTCTTTTTAAACGCCTCGCGATTGTCGTCTTTGATGGCAGCAGTTATATCCGGATATATGTAATTGGGTAATCTTTCCTTCTCTTTCTGGTGTATCGGAACAGCAATTCTTGGCTGTACTTCCAGTGGCTTTGGATGCTTTTCCTCATTTTTGTCCACGATCGTTTCCATCGTTTTACTGGACATAGCACCTTTCACGCATCGCTTATATTTTTCATTTATCGTAATATCGACGCTGACTTGAGTGTTCGTATTGTCAACAAAAATGCTCTGTCCGTTGCTATTCTCAGGTCGCAAGAGCGACCATCGATCCAAGGATAAGTTTATGTCTTCTTCCGGAATTATTAAGCCCTGCGAAATATCGATGTCATTTTTCTCAGCGCTCATCACCCTTTCATCCTTCGTGAGATCCTCCTTGTTCCGAGTCTCGTCCTCGTCATTATCATCATCTTCGTTGCCAGAATCATTATCAAGACTCTTCAAGATACCCTCGTTCTTCTCGTTGCGCTTCCTGAGTTCCTCCCAATTCTTTCGCGGCTTGTAACTTGTCTTCCGTCTGACGATCTTGCTCTCGGTAATGTTAATATCGGGGATGAAGAGACGCAGCGCCTTCGTGCCGGTCGGGAACGTCATCTCGTTGATTCGTCTCTCGGACATGATCGCTCTCAGACTCGTCTTCGAGGCAACCTCCTGGTGCTTATTGAAGGCGGAGACCAGCTGCGCGACCGTGTACTTCGGCTCCTCGTTCTCCGACTCTGTCGAACGATCCTCCTTGTCGTCGGACGCCGCCGAGTTATTGGAACGACTGGACACATCGGAATGTTGCCGTTCGCAGGGACGTTTGTCCGCGCTGTCGTCGGACGCCACGTTGCGGCATAACGGCATTTCGTCGGAATCCTCTGTCAGGGTGTCCGACTCGACGGACTTGAGAGAATCCAGGTTCTCCTCCGATCCCGAGGTGAGTTTCTTTGGAGTCTGCGACGGTTCCGCGTTCTTCGCCGCGCGCTGCGGATCATTACTCGATTCGACGTAGGAGTTACTTCGATCATCGTCGCTGAAGTCGTTCGACATCTTCGCGTCTGTTATTGAAACCGTTGGCATATTTTCATCAACCTCTCGCTCGATTTTTTCGGATGTTAAATCGATGTCTGATGATTTTACATCAACCATCATATGATCGTCATCGATCGGAGATGTGAATCTGGAGGACGCGATCTCGGCGCCAAGTTGCTTGAAAATCGGCAACATGTCGGTCTTGGCGCGCTGGTAGCTCTTCCTCCGTCGTTTCAGACACTCCAGACTTCTATAGATATCCAAGACACCTTGGGACTTTGATAGAGATCTCAGACCATATAGTTTCTCCCGGGACTTGCTGATCACAGGATTCATTGTGACGGCACCAGCTCGCTCGCAATTGATTGCCGAAGCGGACATTCCATTCAGCAGACATGCCTGAGACTGAACGCGATTCAGGCTGCGTATCTTCGAGAGTATACCGCGGCTGAGGCCTTGATTCAAATTAGCTTGGGACCGACTCTGTGCCTTATTCAACAGTCCTTGCGTCTGTTCCTGGTTTAACAGGCAGCTCTGGCTCGCGCAGCTCAGGCTGGTTCTGGAGGAATTCAGACTGGCCTGAGAATCCGCCGGGCTGGTGAATCCTTCGCTACCCGCCAAACTCGAGCGACTTCCAGTTAGACAATGGCTCAGACACATCTCGCTTTGACTGAGCATGCAATCTTGTAAGCCTTGTCGACGATGCTGCTGATAGCTCTGATGATCACTTTGAACATCCGCCTGGCAGAGACTCGCCTGGCTGGTCGCCTGGCTCATTAGCGCGGCTCTCCTCAGGTTCTCGCGGCTGACCACACGTTCCAGAAGAACCTCTCGTGACTTCGACAGGTACCTTCGCAGATGCGGCGACGCTTGTGTCGGGGCGCCGCGTAGCCAATCGTGGCGCAGGCATTGCTTCGCGGTCATTCGTGCACTTAGGAAATAATAATAGGAATAAAAATTACTTCTCCAAAGATTTTTAAAGATCTCCTCGAGAACCTTGAACATCTCGAAAATATATTTGCTTGAAAAACTCTTGAAAGAAGGACTCATCACTATTTTTACCTTGGGTCTAGCACCAAGAGCTTCGCGACGAAGTCCTTCGCCTGCGCCGAGACATCCTCGAATAGCTCCTCGGGAAAATCCACCTCTCCCAAAGATATATTCTGAAAGGTTTCTTGATCGGTCTCGCCGCCAAAGGGCGAGAAGCCCGTCAGCAACACGTAGGTCGTGACACCGAGAGACCTGAAATGTGGATAATTTCGTAAAAAATTGGATGGAAATCCATTCCGCATTTATATTTACATATATCGAAAGGATAAGAAAATGGACATGAGGGGTTTGGCCTTACCACATGTCGGCTGCCAGCGTGATCGGCTCGTAATGCAATATTTCAGGCGCTGAAAGAGAAATGTAAACATATTATATATGTATGATATTGAATATATGGAAATGTACGCACAATAGAATTCAACGATCACACGTGCCGAGGTCTCCTCTCCTCCGCGTCCACTTATACTCCGTGTCCAGTGACCTCGCACGTGACATCACTCGGGCTCGCGAGCGTCATTTTTATTTACGTACGAAAATCGAATCGTGGGTTGGATCGCGCGCGGAGATGAGGCGAGCGCGAAGATCGCGGGACGAGATAATGCCGCGTCGGCTCTCTCTCTCTCTC